GCCAAGAAAGATCGGAGTGCTGGTTGCTATGGTAATCTGGCTGCTCTGTACGCTAAAGCCAAGACTGAAACGGAGAGAGTTGTAAGGAGAACTGGTCACTCCCAGAAAGCCTGTCCCATTTGTGAGCAGCTGACGTAGTGATGCAGGATTCAGCCTGTCACCCAGCGAAGTGTGTAAAGCAGGTCCACGCAGCACGTGGGGAGGACCAAGTGCACCTGCTGTCCATGCCTGGTGGGACTTCCCGGCCACTGGAGCTCTGGGGGTGGGGGAACGTGGGGCAAGAGGGCCAACAAGCAGGAACTTCCTCCAGCCCTTTGACCAGGCAGGCCTGGCAGCAGGACACACTGCCCTGCCTTGCCCAGCTGCGCTGGATGAAGGCCCACAGAGAAGGGGTCCCCCACAGCTCGGCCACTCATTCACGCTCTCGCCTTGGCTACCCCAGCTCCAGGCAAGGCATATCTGGAGGTGGGACAAAAATTCCTACAGCTCTCTGGGAAAGGAACTGGCAGGAGACAAGCGGCCTTGATTAAACTCTTTATACTCTGGTCTCCTAAGAACACTGTTTTGGTGAGGGTAAACACAGGGGAGCAGGTTAATCGCACACCCACACACGGCAGTGTGAGCACTGGGTGCAGCCCAGAGAAAGCTCACTGTTTACCTGTACGATGATGTAATGTTAGCTTGTGACTGGGTCTCTATTCCGGGAACAGTGAATGAGACAGGATCACACACAGTCTTAGCCATGAGCTGTCAAGATGGTCAAACTGCAGGGCCCTGGGTCGTCTGTCAGACTTTGCCCGATTGGGATGGTTCTGCATTCCCTCTATTCCTGAGATGGTAACGAATAAAGTTTATGTATTCCCTTACTAGATCTGAAGAACGACAAGGCTTTCCAGCAATTAAAAGTCACTTACCGGAGGCCTTTTACTCCACGCCTAGCTCTAATACCTCACCCTTTACATCAGTATAAAGTGTATAAAGTGGTGATTTGGGACTGAATTAATGAAGTTGACTGAGTATTTCAGGAGGTCAAAAGACTTCGGCTTTAGGAACGTGCACTCAGGGCAAGAATTCACACTGGCCATGGCCAATGGCCCTGAAGGCATGGATGGAGCCTGTGGTAATGGCGACATGGCCAGCAAATCCCCCCCTGGCTCAGCTGTGGAGAGGGCAGAGGCTAGATACACCCCGAGACACAACCATGTGCCGTAAATGACAGCTTATAGTCAGGCGATGGTATGATCAAGGGCATACCCATAAAGGCGCAGACCCACATCCCCATCCGGGGAGGAGTTCAAGACTTTGCCAGCCCCAATCTGGGTGGCACACTGACCTCCAACAGCATGGCACTGTCAACTGGTATGCCGAGTGATGAACTCCACCAGGTTTTGGGTCCTTTCATGTATGTGACCACAGATCCAACCACGCTCACTGTCCAGGACGCACCTGTGGGAGCCACAGTGCTGAAGGCCCAGGGCCCAGACCAGGGGACACAGGCATGCTGATGGGGCTCCTTGAGGGAATCCTCCACCTGGATGCCAGTGGCCATCCAACCCTCTACAGAGAGCACAGTGATGGGCACAGTAGGCAGTGGGCTGAGCTCAGAGCTGTGTGGACGGGTTTAAAGCATGAACCTCACCCAACTGTGCTCTATTGTACAATACACTTGGTATCAGCAGTCAGGAGCGCAAGAGACGTATTGCCCTGGGGAAGTCTATAGTCAGGGACCTCTCCAAATTACTGAGGAGCACTGATGTCAGTTTGTGGACTAAGGTTCAGGCCATGATCTTTCTCATCACTTGCGATGCACCTGAGAGCTGGACAATGAGGAAGGATGGCAGAAGACTTGATCCCTTTGACCTGCCAGAGTGCTCCTCAGAGGCAGAGCGGATGAAGCTTCACCCCACACTTCGGTCACGTTTCTAGAGAGGCTGTTCCCTGGAGGGGAACTTCATGCTCGGGAAGGTGGAAGAGAGGCAAAAGAGAGGAAGACTCCTGACCAGGTGGGCTGACATGGTGACTGTCACAATGGGCTTGAGTGTGTCAGCGACAGTGAGGGTGGCACAAGGTAGGACAGTGTTCAGACCAGCTGCTCACAGGGTATGAGCTGTACCCTACTCAACAGCACCTAACAACAAGAACAAGCCCAACTACTCTGCACAGAGCTGGGCTGCCATCAAAGGACATCCTCTGGCTTGCCCAGCGGAAAGAAGAGTGGATGACCAGTCACCACCCCTACGGGGGATGGAGCTCTGGGAAGATACATGGACAAGAGAACAAGGTACAGGCATTGCTATTTTCACGTATTTGCCAGCAGTACTTGGTCTCCCTATAGGAATGTTCAGGTAGATGAATTATCTCACTAAGTCTTAGAAACATCATCTTGCTTGGATCTACAATTAACACCCTTTCTACCAGCAGTCAGGAAATTAAGGAGAAGCCCTGCACTGAAAAATCTTCAGTTAGGAACCTATCCAAACTATTGAGGAGCAATGATGTCAGTTTGAGAACTAAGGTGTGTCTGATTCAGGCCATGGTCTTTCCTATTACTAGCTATGCTTCTAAGAGCAGGACATTGAAAAGGGATGACAAGAAGAATTGAGGCCTTTAAGCCGTCTTGTTGGAGAAGAGCACTGAACATCTCATGGACGGCCAAGAGAACAAACAGATATGTCTTGGAGAGGATGCAGCTGGAACACTCTTTGGAGGCAAGAATGCCCACATCTTTTGGGCATGCTGCTAGGAGGGCATGTTCCTGGCTGGGAAGGGTGGAGGGTTGGTGAAGGAGAAGACCCTCAACCAGGTGGACTGACACGCTGACTGTTGCAATGGGCTCTTGTGTCAGGAAGTGTGAGGACGGTGCAGGACAGAACAGGGTTCAGATCCTTTGTTCACAGGGTTGCTATGGGTTGTACTCACCTTGACAGCACCTAACAACAACAACAACAAATCGTATGAGAAGTACCCACGGACAAACTGGAAGAACGGCTTTATTATAAAACTGGCCATAACGGGCAGTGATCATTATAGGCCATATCCAAAGATTCGGGCCTTCCTTTACCCAAGAAATAATCATCGAGGCTGTCAGCAGTGCCTTAGCTGCTCTCTGGTCCGGTGCACCCCCACTCTTCATTCTATGGTACACACAGCAAGGACGGATGCCCCCGCACGAAGGTGGCAAATTGGCTCTCCAGGGCTTCTCCCGTGGTCCAACAACCGCAGGGAAGCCTCACCTGCATGGACACTGCTACTGGACTCTTGCAAGCACCCCCCTGGAAGCCAGAGGTCAACAATCAGGGTCTGCAGTTTTCATGTGCTGCTTGTGGCATTGCCACGATCATGCCAGTGACCAGGGAACTCATTTACCCAGCCATGCAGTTCAGGCGGGGCCAACCAGCTGGGCAGCATTTTCAGATCCCCTACAGTCCAGCAGCACCTGGGCTCCTGGAACACGTGACTGGAGAGCTGAAATGGGCAGCGGCCGACAAGGAGATGCATCAATGACCGTCATCGGCAAACTCGCCCCAGATCACGAGGATACAGTCCCCGCTGCCATGGACAAGCCGCCGCCCCAGCCCGCTGTAGTCACTGCGCACTACCGAGTCAGAACTGACCCATAGCTCACCCTCCTGCAGGTTTTCAGAGGCGACTAATCACACAAGAGGATGTCCATCCTTCGCCCGCAGAGCAGCTAGTGGACAGGGACCACGTGCCTTTGGGATTGGCCACCAGAGGCCCAGGCCCAGGCAACCCAATAATAAACGGTTGCCCTCGCCACAGTGCCCCCTCCTGGGAGAGACCGCTGTGGCCGCCCATCCAGCCGAGCTGGCAAACGAGCCCCTCCTGGTTTGGCTTTCTGACACCTTGGGGACTAGATGAAGAGAACAGTTTGCAAAGTACCCCGTGGCTTTTGTCAGCACCTCCATTCTCTCCTCATCTGTGGTCCAGGAAGGACACAACCCTTCAGGAGCAGACAGTCTGCTTCCTAAACAACGTATCTCTGGAAACTGTATGAACGTTGATACAGATAGAAAGGCTTCAGGCCTTGTGTTCACAGGGCAGCTATGAGTCATGCTGACTCAAAGGCCACCAACAACAACAGAGTCCCTCCCTTAGATTGTACCGGAGTTAGCAAGTCAGAAAAGTCTGCAGGGCAAAAAATGTGGTATATAAACCTGGAAGGACCCGGCCTTACAATGTCCTCAGCTCACCTGATACTACTTTCATTTTGACTCAATAACTTGACTTGCCTCGTCTGGTGCCTGTAATGCCTTTGCCTTTTCACTCATAGCTCAGAAGGGAACGTTTTCACCAGCTGGGCTGCTATGATGGATGGGATAAATGAATCAGACTCTGGGGTGTGCCTTCTGATGTAGAACTCCCACACAAGATCCCCTCGCTGTAAGAGGCCTGGGCCACAGGGAAAAATGGGGGAACTCGGATGATCAGCTCTGACCTCTTTTCCTACTCCCCAAGTAGACTGTTCTAAGTATCTTGCTCCCTGGACACACCTGGCATATTTCACGTGGATGGTAGGGGCTCTGATAACTGCCTCTGTCCGGGTACATGCAGTCAGGGCTGGCCTGCAGCGGCTGTCTGCAGGCTGCGCTCTTGGCGCACGCTCCAGAGGGAAGGATGAGCCTCACGGTGGTTTTATTCACTGGCTGTTTTCACCCGGAGCAGCCTCTGCTGATGCGGAGTGGCAAGCTGAGGGTTTAGGCACATGCTGCAGCTGCCTGGAATCAGGCGTCATGCTCTCACGTTACTATGTGCAGAAACCGACAGATGCACGTGATGGAGTGAACAGAACAGAAAGGCTTTCGGTCCTCGACTGCGCGTGTGCTTCGGTTGACCCTCAGTGCTCAGGGTAAACGTCTATGTAGAAGCACAGAGCCACTGCAGCGCTACAGCAGATGAAGGGCACAGCGCCCCTCTTTCTCCATGGACGCACGCTCCCCCTTCAGCCTGGCACTGTATGTGACAGTCTACAAGGAGCTCACTGTGCTGTGGCCTTTACTGCTGCTGTGGTCTTCGGAGGGACATCATGAACGGCTGGGGAGACTGAGAGCCATGCAGGGCTGGGGGGTATATCCTAAGCACCCCAAAATGGCCGTACCTGTGACCATCCGTTCAGTGCCTAACCGCTGTGCCACCAAGGTTCCCTCCACTACACCGTGGAGGCTGCAGCTCTACCGACCAGTGCATGCCATGGATCGTGACTCCTACGCACAGGTCTTCCCTCTCACAGACCTCTTTGTGGAGAAAGGGAAATACTGACTCAGCAGGGTCACTGAGTGTCCATTCTTAATTAGAACAAAGTCTCAGAGTGGGCTGCTGTTGTCCTTGAACTGATTCAGCCCCTCTGTAATGTCGTTGTTTTTATGTGCCGTAGAGTCGCTTGCGACTCATAGCGACCCTATGTACAAGAGCCTGCTCTGTCCTGTGCCAATCGCACTGCCTCTGACACACCCATTCCCATTAACCCAGTCACTGAATCAATCCACCTCATAGAGGGCTTTCCCCTCCTGCACTGTCCCTTCACCCTCCCAAGAATGATGTCCCTCTCCAAGGACCTGTCCCTCCTTACAACATGTCCAAAGTATGTCGGACGAAGCCCCAGAATCCTTGCCTCCAAGGAACAGCCTGGTTTAACCCTCTCCAGGATGAATCTGGTTTTTTCCCTAGCAGTCCATGGTACATTCAATACTCTTCTCCAGCACCACAGCTCAAAGGCATCAATTCTCCTTCTATCCTCCCTAGTCATTGTCCAACTCTCTGATGCATAACAAGTGATTGCAAAGACCACGGCCTGTATCAGACACACCTTAGTCTCCAGAGTGGCACCATTGCTCTTCAGTACTTTGGAGAGGTCCCTAACAGCAGACTTTCCCATTGCAGTGCGTCTTTCAATTTCCTGGCAACTGGTGCAAAGAGTGTTGACTGTGGAGCCAAGCAAACTGAAGCTGTGAACAATCTCAATCCCTTCACCATCCATCATGTTGCTGTCAATTGGTCCAGTGGTGAGAATCTTTGTTTTCTTGATATTGAGCCTCAATTCATATTGAAGGCTGCAGTCCTTGACCCTCTGCAGCAAGCGTTTCAGGTCCCCCTCAGTTTCAGCAAGCAGGGTTGTGTCATCTGCATAACGCAGACTGTTAACAGATCTTCCACCAATTCTGACACCATACTTCTCCTCATAGAGCCCAGCCTCTTGGATAATCTGTTCTGCATACAGGTTGGAAAAGTATGGAGACAGGACACATCCCAGGTGTACACCCTTCCCAATTTTGAACCATGCACAGGCCCCTAAAAATCATCCTTTGCAACACTACTGCCTTCTTTTCTGGACTCTGGGTGACTGTGTTCGTGTCGCAGCTAAAGTATAACTGGCCCACTGAAAGGATCACCATCGCATAGCCTCAGGACCCCCTGTGCTTCCTGAGTGGGCTCCAGGAACAGAAGCCATCCTGCAAGCCCCACCCAAGTCCACGTGCACGGATGCGCAACAGCATCCCCACTGCAGACCTCTGCAGACCCAGCACCCCTGAGGGACCATGCCTCCTTTCTGAACCTCCACGGTGGCTGAGGGCTTCCTCAGGGAACGCGTTTGTAGAAATGTGAAAATGAGGAGAGAAGGGTGGACAACACACAGCCCGAGGGGACTGAAATCGGCCAAGAACAAAGAAAGGAAGTCTAAGTGAGAGAGGTCTCGGCTCCTGAGCTGCCTGGCATACAGCGTGCTGGGGAGGACCCCAAGGGACTGCATCATTTCAGCAGAGGTGTGGCACGAGGGAAGCTCCCAGGTCTGTACCCTGTGGCCTTAGGTAGGAGAAACTTGAAGGTTTGTCACCCTGATTCGAGGTGGGGACTACAGAATGCCTGCCTGGCGTGTTAAAGTTGACCTTTTTTTCTTTAGCCACTACAGTTAACCCCCTCTGGTCTCCAGCTCCCTTAACTGCAGACACATGGTCCTGCAAATCATCAACAGCTGTGGGACTAGGAAAAGAGAAACAGTGCACCTGACATTGGGCGGCAAGACCCTGGTGAGAGTGAGACCTTGATGATGGTGGTGGAGAGACTGTGGCATGGCTGTGCAAGGTGTGACCGCAAGGTGTAAGCAGAGGAGCTCTGAGACAAAGGTCACAGTTAAAGATTTTTGCTGTTTTTGCTGATGCTTGAAGGAGAAGCTGTCTTACAACTGCTTTGAGACAAACCTTGCTGGATGATCTGGATCTGCCCGCTGAACTGAAGCCAGACCCTGGACTAATTGAGGAATTGTGCCTTGGAACTTGAGCTAAAACCTGGATCTATATTGGGTGATATTCTTTGCCTCCTCCACTCTCCCAACTTCCTTCCCTACTAAACCCCATTCTCAATACTGTGAGTCTGTGTGTAAACAAACCTTTGCTGTTGGTGTGGTTCTAGAGGTACCGTGGGGCTGGGCCAGGGCTCTTTATCTGCTTTGTGCTCTGGGGTGGCAGGGGCCGTGCTACCCCGACTCCCTCTGGGCCTTTCAGAAGGATGTTCACGGCCCTGTGCCTCTGTGTCCCATTCTGATGCTTAGACACTGACACAGCAGCATATGAAACAGCATCATGTCCCCTGCCATCGTTTCCACCAGCAATGCCACCTTCCACCTGAAAGGATGGCGGGAACTGGCCACAGTAAAGCAACTACTCAAACCGACAGAACGCATATTTGTGGACAGCTAAACTTGCAGGGGAGGGGGATCTCTGGGGATAAATTAACATTTGAAACAAAGATAAGCATCGAAGCAACACACAACCTATAACTAAAAAGACCATGGCTTGGATCGAGTGTATATAAATCTTCAAACTGGTATGATTACTCCTTAAAACCTTAGAGAAGTCCTTGACAGATTTTCCCAGATTTTTTTATTTCTTGACTGTACAAAGGATGTTGATTGTGGATCCAAGTAAGATGAAGTAATTGACAGCTTTGATCTCTTCTCCATCCATCATGATGTTTCCTATTGGTCCAGTGGTGAGGACTTTTGTCTTCCTGATGTTAAGATATAATCCCTATTAAAGGTTGTAGTCTTTGATCTTCTGCAGCAAGTGTTTCAAGTCCTCCTCATTCTAAGCAAACAACCTGTGTTACACAGATGACATAACCTTGTTTGCTTAAAGTGAAGAGGACTTGAAACGCCTGCTCCAGAAGATCAAAGACTACAACCTCTGATAACGGATTACATCAACATCTGCTCCTGACAGTGACTGCTGGTTCCTCTCAGGCGCCGTCCTCTGTGAGCACTGACCAAAGGGATGGACAGCCTGAGTGCACAGGCAGCAAGCAGACGGCCTGCAGGTCTATCAGCAGCACCCCTGCAGCAGGGAGGGTCCCGAATGGGATCCGCTCCATCCCAAGGTCCCGGACTAGAAGTGCTCACTGCCCCACCTTAACAATCCTTAGCAGGCTGTGCTCCGTGTTCTAGATCAAGCTGAAAGGAGAGGGCTTTGACGTGCAGGACGAGTGATGTCAGCTTTGGTGAAAATGAAGCAAGTGCAGTTGAGACACTTGTGTTTCAAGGGGCACTGGGGACTTTGAGGGTAGGGAGGTGGCAGTGAGACTGAGGGACACAGGGGCCTCAGCCAGTCAATCATTTTGGTACTCTTTCCCTCTCCATCCAAAGTGGGCGTCTCCATGTTGGCCTGCCACACCCGCCTCGCTGTCCTCTCTGGCCACGACGCCTGTGTGACAAAATGGGTCGTCCGTGCCTGTACGGGGTCTCTGACCTCAAGGATAGCATAAGAGGGAACCTTGCAAGCCCTGTGCTTGTGAGTGGGCTGATGCCTGGATATTTGTTACAGATGGGTCTTCGTAATCCCGGGAAACCTCTGGAAATTAAGTTGCTTCTAGGATAAGAATGGGAGTTTCTGGGGAAAAATCAGGGGAACTTCATCAGAACTGGGATAAAGATTTAACTAAAGTTCTTAATCAGGAACCATTTGATGTTCCTGGAAATGATAACAAACAAGCTGAAAATATAAAAGAAATTGAGATTGCTCTTAAAAGTATAATTTTGAATATGATCTTTGAGTATGTATCTAATTCCTCTTTTGTGATACTTGCAACTCATATTCAGCAATGT